GTATTTCATACTTTTACTTATCTTTTTTATTTTTAATCTTATTATTTATTATATTTATCATTCTTTTTTATCCTCCTTAAATAACTTTAGCATGGAAAAAAGAGAGAGCATCACTGTTAATATTGTTATTTTTTTTATATAAAAAACAATTAATGCATTTCTTTTATATATATTTCTGAATATTAAAGAGTTTAATTTTAATATACCATTAATATAAATTTTTTTATCGCTAAATAATACGATAACACTTTCACATAAACTTAAAATAATTACAATGAAAGTAATCTAGTCACAAAAGAAAATTATACAATAAAATGATTTTTTAATGTTATAAGAATTCTTGATTGAACATGGTCAGTATACTTTAATTAAATTCAATATTAAAGATATTTAATTTTTATTTAATATTTTTTCATATAATATTGGAAAACATTAATATATTATAAAAGTTAATAAAAATATATCCACATTATATATATAATAAAATTATTATTTTTATAATAATTCTTTTATAAATTATATCTTAAAGAATTTATAAATAATTTTTCTTCTTTAACTTTTAAGTAAACACTAACTTTCTTTATTTATTTATCTAAGTGACACATCAAATATATAATTCTTTATATAATATAATACTATTAATATTAAGAAAAGAACAAATTATTAATGCAAACGTCAAATAATTAAATAAAACTTGATTTATTATTCAATTTTAACTCTTAAATTATCTTAAATATTATGTGTGTTGTAATTTAAAAAATATACTAATTTCATAAAACAATTTTAAAGAACGGGTGAGAAATTATTATTTTAAAAATAAAGAATAATTAATAATAAAAAATTCATTAAAGAAAAATAGCATTGTACATAACTAAAAAAACAAAGGATATACAATATACATGTTAGAATATGAAACTTTAACTTTAACATATTAATGTCATTATTTTAAGAGAGATAAGTAATTTTTAAAAAAATAAAAAGAATGTATGTACCATTTAAACATAGCACAGAAGAGGTAAATGTGATTTTTTCTTAACTATCGCTATTTCTTTTCTCTTTTTCATCCTTGTTTTTTACATCTATTATGTTTTTTCTTCTTATTTCTCTTTTCCTACCGCAAAATGGAGCAGACATTCCTCCCTTAAATGAAGTGCATGTGGAAATCAAATCGGTATCACACAGTCCAGAAGCAGCAAGAAGTTACTTGTGCCTTATTTGCAGCGTTTGACATATATAGTTCTGTGGAAGGAATCAGAAAACGTGTCCAAACACACGAAAAAAGCACTATAAAAAATATTATATATAAGAACATATAAAAAGTGATATATATAATAAATATATATTTATTATATATATAGTTATACATAATTTTAGTATTAATTTTAAATGAAATTTAAAAATATGTTATTATAATTTATATACTTATAATAATATATTAATATATATTATATTTATTGTATAACTAAAAATAATTTTTACTGATATATATAGTGTGAGTGTTTGTTATTATACAACAGTTCTTTTATAGTGAAATAAGTGATGTTAAAGTAGGAGCTAGAGAAAGGTTTAGTTCATCTCCAACACCTGTCAACACCCCATACCCTCTTTCCTCATTTGGCCTCAGTAGGGCCACCTCAGATGCTACGTACCATAAAATGTAGACACCTGGTCAGCCTATATTTCTTGGAACCTTTTTCATTTTCCCTTTTTGGGTTTAGGACCATTCTTCATATGCGTACGTGTCGACGAGTGCTTAGTGGTTAATGGATTCTTAGTTACCCTTCATTGGACCATAGAATAATTGTTCTAGTTCTCTTCTCTTTGGGAAAGTTGAGAAGAAGCAGCAAAATGAATCCAAATTAACCACGAGCTAGCATCACCCTATTTGCTCCATATATATCTTTATATATCCAAAGTATGGTTGGTAATGGTATCTTTGAAAAGAATTCAAAAATGGGTAGCGTTTAGGCCACGAACATTTTCAGGCATGCACCTTTGTCAAAGCGCATACATGCTATTCCGTTATTCAGAATAAACCTATGCTTTCAATCATAACCGGCATCAAACTACCAGATAACAGAACATATGCATATGCACTTGTACAGTGTAGGGA